TTTGCATTCTTGTCTAGAACAATGCATGTAAAATTATGCATGGAGTGCAGATTTGACATGTGGCTGCTATTGCAATGTTGGCTAATCTGCTAAAGCAATGAAATGTTTAGAATAGTGTCAAATATGAACTTGTCAGCAGTGATATAATTTTTTCTATTTTCAGCTCAGAGAAAGACCAAAGCACTGACCTAAGTGTGACTTTGAGTGCAATTTTTAGCAGTTACTCGGACAGTGAGGAGGAGGAGGAAAAAGAGGAGGATTCAAATTGTCATTCCATCAACTTAGAGACACACTCTACATGCAGTGATAAAGACCTCTGTCTCAACCATGGTGAAGCTGAAGCAAAACCAAATGGATTTGTAGTAGCTACAGCTGTTGAACCTGTAATAATACTTCAACAGTAGAGTATTCAATCATCTAGCTCCAACCCTGTTACAGCCACAGCTGGTGAACCTGAAGTACAACCTCAGCAGCAGATTGTTCAATCTTGTAACTCCACTCATGGTATTCCAGATGCTGCTGTTACAACTGATGAAAACACTCCGCAGAATAATATGGAAATTCTTCAGAAAAAAGTAGAGGATGTTATGAAAGAGGTGTGCAACATAGACAGTGATCTTGATGAATTTTTGTCACATTTTCATAAAGAGAGAATTATTTCTGAGTTGCAGGAGATTCTCAATTTATTTGAGAGAAACTGTCAAAGTAAAGGTTGTGTTGGACAGTGTTCTGTGGTCAATACAAAATCTGAAGGGGGTGTATTGATTGTTAGCTGGAAATGTACTGAGGGACATAATGGCATGTGGGAGTCGTCTGTTGTGCTTGGTGTTAAAAGAGGCCAAAAGGTCTATGCAGCTACAGTTCTTCTTGCTGCCTCAATTGTTGTGTCAGGGAACAACTTTGATAAGCTAAGCATGCTTATGAAGTTTTTGAATGTGAGTTTTTTGTCAGAAAGTACATTTTCTTGCATTCAGACATGTGTGACCCCAGTTGTAAAGGAACTCTGGGAAGCAATGAAAGAGAAGTTGTGGGAGGTCCTTAAAGGTGAAGAGTTGGCTTTGGCTGGTGATGGGAGAAATGATTCACCAGGGCACAGTGCTAAGTATTGTGTTTATACCATAATGGAGCACTACTTGCATCTGATCATGGACATAGAGGTGGTTGACAAGAGAGAAACTGGAGGTTCCTCAGCCACTATGGAGAAGCTGGCATTGAAGCGTTTGATCGAGAGAGCGATGACAGATCTGAAGATAGTAGATTTGGTGACTGATACCTCCAGCATGATCATTGCCCTTACAAGAACTCTCAAAGGTACATGTAAGTCCATCCTAAATTTTTTTTAGTCCACATTAGTAATACTCCTAAATTTTTTTCAGTCCACTTTAGTAATACTGGAGTGAACAGATTTCTTTCATGATAAACTTCAATAGCACATTAATGACAGTAAGCTGATTCTCCTTGTAGTATAGCTTTTAAGTGAAATTTGCAAAGAAACATATTCCAGTGGAAAAAGTGAAATAACATCCCAATATGGTTTGTAAGACTTATTTTCATTGAATGGTTTTTTGTTTCTGTGTTGTTTTCAGAGAAAAATCCAAGCCATCTTGAGGATCTATTCCACTCTTTGGACATGTGGCACAAGTCATGTAAATTGACTGCCAAACTGAGTGTTGTGAGTACTGCACACTTGTGATACAATAGTAAATCAAGCTGATAACAACTTATAATGGCCTTCCCTTAAATAGTTATATATGTATATGTATTTATACCATGCCATAGAAAATATAGCCAATCATGTCACATTGACTCAAACATTGTATGCTACTTATTATGTTGAATTCTTATTGTAGGCTGCTAAAGTGCGAGGGTGCGATGATATATGTCAGTGGATTGAACCCATTAGGAACCACTTTTGGCACTGTGCAGAGCAGTGTGATGGCAATGAAGAAACCCTCAGGGTAAGTGTCGAGTATATTCAATGTCTCCCCGAATGTACTTATTAGAGAAAACATTGACATACTTCCACCCAAGCAAAAGGTTGTACTTTTCCTTGTATAGGAAATGGTAGCATTTTATATCCAGGTATAGATTGTCACAAATCTTAATGGTTAAGACTTTGATTTGCATGTTTAAAAGTTGAAACCAAAGACAAATTTAAACTACAACATGCACATGTACATGTGAACAAGTGGGTAAACTGACTGTTTTTTTTAAATAGTTTTTTAGCTGTATGCTGTCTGGTTTTGTTTAGGACATGTGGCTCGGTGTCACACATCACGTGTGTGGGGAGCATGAGTGGGTTGAGGGAGAATGCTCACATGGTCCCCTTGTTTCAACTGAACAGGGGAAGACCTTCCTTGAAATGGACTCAAAGTCACACAAGGCCGTACATGACATTGTTATGGATCGTGCTTGGCTCAAAACATTGGCATTTTATGTGAAATTTAGGTAAGTAAAGAAATTTTAATTAAAAAATTAAAAATTCTTGGCATTTCTGTGACTCAAACTCAAATCAGTGTAAAGAGTGATTTACACTAGTGAATAAATTATTCGCACAAACAAAAAGTTTTTGTTGGTACTAACAATTCATTCACTAGTGTGTGCATTGAACTGACAACAAGGACACAAAAGTACATTGTATTTATCCCAAGCAAGACTTTAGATTCTAAACAAACTTGTTAGTAACAGTAACTTTTGTACTTATTGTTCTACTCATTGTTTGCGTAGGCATACCAGTAAACTCGAAAGTTTCAATTCCATGATGCTGAAGTATGCTTCGAAGAGGATGGCATTTAGGTAAGCTGGCTCATTTAAAATATACATGTAAGTGTACATTTGTCTGAACTGCTAATGTTTTCCTTCAATAGGGTTGGCATCTGTCATGGCAAAATTGGTGAATTTGTTTTAACATTTATTTTTTCCTGGGTAGTGGAAAGTGTGGTAAATAACCAGCAAATGTTGTGTTCTGGAGTGTGAACCCTGTGCCAGCAAAAGAGTCAAAAGCTACAAGTGTAGAAGTCACAGATCATAGTAACTTATTTCTGAATATATTAGTGAAGATCAGTTCCAACATTCCTTGTACCCCGTGTTTATGTATCATAGAGAGAACTGATAGCAATGATTTTGATTAATCTTTTCACATTTCTCATCATTAAATTTTATTGCTCTTTCACATTGCAGCTATGATGTTTTTATGACAAGGATTCTTCTGGCAGCTTTGGATCACAATGTTCATTTATTCCGAACTGATTTGGAAGACTCCATGGGCCAGGTCCGGTAAAAAAAAACCTACAGTAAGAGGTCCAAGAATTGGAGGGCGGAGCCCGTAAAAGAACCCAAGAAGTACCCACACTGGGCAGTGATGGCAGCTAAAATCCTTAAGAAGAGGATTAGTTCTTCTAGTTTAGCTGCGTCTGCTATCACTTTTACAGCAACTTTTATCCATTGGATTATCCAACTACTCGTCTGTGTGAAGTTTTTCTCCTGCTGTAGTTGTTCAAAGATCTTGATGGTACGTAGTATCCCTCTAAAGTAAATAGGTGTCCTCTTGTGTGTTGTGATGCCCAGACTC